TGGAAATAAGTATGAAAGAAACAAATTATTTAATATCTTCACAACATTTACCGTTCAGAATTAATACATTGTGCTGATATTCATTTGTGTCATTCAGAATTATTTCCAAGTCGGGACTGAACTGAACATCATCGGACATATGTCCGACCCAAACTCAACGTCATCGGACATTTTGTCAGACGGCCCTGTAAAAGATATTTTAAGGCCTGGACATCAAACCATACCATACCATACCATACCATATGACATCATACCATACCATACCATACCACATTATACCATATGAAATCATACCATACCATACCATACCATACCATACCATACCACACCATAACATACCACACCATACCATATGACATCATACCACACCATACCATATGACATCATACTACACCATACCATATAACATCATACCACACCATACCATATGACACCACACCATACCATGCTGACAGTATATATCAGTACACCACACCACACTACAACATATCACATAATAGTTGTACCACACTATAACATATTCCTACAGTAAATTGTGCACATTTAAGTGAGTCAAATTATTCTTACGTATCATAATCCTGGCAAACACTCCCCACGGCAACCAATGCTTGCACATATTCATTTGGATTATAAGGACTAATGAAGTGCAATGATGTGGGGTTCGATGGATTACCATTGGATGCAGTAAAGTCCACACCAACCTACATACAAAAAGACAAAATTTCTATCTAAGTGCCAGAAAATTCCACCAGTTAAGGGGATTCAACCCTCAGTCTAAGATAAGAAAGTTCAAGTCTTACTTACTGTGAAATTGACTTGACATCCTCCCATAATGTAATCCAAAAACGTGTGATCTCTTCGTACCTTAGTTTGTAGAAAATAACTTGTTCAATTAACTGATTACTATCAAGGTTGTAAATAGGAGTTTAATTATAACCAGTTACAACTAATTTTCTGTTTCATAAGCTTACTGTAAAACTTGATAGATAAAGTAGGCCAGAATTGACATATTTCTTCTTCTTTGCTTTCTTTTCTTCATTGATCAGAGGAAAAGAAATCTGTAACATATACAGAAATGTGCTATAATTTACCAAACCAGTTAGACTATTGGTTAGTCTGTCAACTACTCGGTTGGTTCAGTCATTCGAGGCTAATTATACTACCCACCTCTCTGTCTTTGGCTGGTGCAAGTTCTTTCAGTGTTGTTTCAAAACTTCCAATCAAATCATGTTCCGTATCTCTGTCCCAATCAAAACAATCAATCTGTAATGCAATCATAATGTGGATACATTTTAACACTAGTCTAATAGTACAAAATTGCATGTAAAATTGAATAACAGCTAAGTGAACTAAGTTTTGCAAAGATATTAGTTACCTTGATTTTTCTGTCATAATCAGCATTGCATAATTCAGTGATGGGCATCTCAATCATTTTGAATGAAGGGTTCAACGTGTTCTTACAAACCTTGAAATGGCAGAAAAATGAATTTATAATTCCAGTATGTTACAAATAAAAGTACTGTACAGTTTGGATCCATTTATATAAACATGTACCTCAGTTTTATGGACAACCACTTTAGTTCCATCAGGCAATTGTTTTGATATCACTAAGTACGGATCTGACTTACCAAGAAGATCCTACAAGAATGAAAAAAAATACTATCAACAGTGGGTCTACACTCACCTAACAAGATTGCAGACATTTTTCTGGGATAGGCAGGGGTGTAACTCCTGGGGGGGGGGGGGGGGTGACACCCCCAATGTTGTAATATTGCAGGGAAGTGGTCAATTCTGGGGGGAGGACTTTTGCTACCTTCGCATGACAAGGGGAACACACTTACTTTTTTGTCCAGACTTTTCCCATGGAAAACTAGTTGAACAATTTCATTTGACTCATTTATTTCTTCAGCAACTATCTATTAAATTAACATGAACAATTACAATTAATAAAAGTTGAAAACTGAAGCTGTAATCTGAAAACACTTGGACATCAGGTGAAAAATGGCAACTTGATAATTATTAAACTCACTGTAATGGTCCCAGCAGTTTGCTTATTTTTTATTGTCAACTTTTCTGTATAATTTTTCTTGGAAACAATCTAATTAAGAGAAACATGGTATATTTTTAGTTCCTAATCCTTGCAAACATATATAGGTAATATTCTGCAATCCATATACGACTTCATAATAATTATTCTAACCATAAATCTTACCCTTAAGGCAACCTACTGTAATTTACTATGTGACTCCTACTAATGCCAGACAATTTCACTGTAACTCAATTGGCTAATAAAATTTAACATACTATTAATACATACTTCATTAACAAATTATATGCTGATAAAACACCCATCTTTAATATTCTCAAAATCATGCAAAACTTACTTGACCTAACGTACACTCCATTGATCCAAGAAAGTCATCATCTCCGAGCTGAACTGTCTCGTTATCCACATCATAGACAATGAACTTTAATTTTTGCACCATTTCAAAGTAGTAATTAATTGTTATGGTTTTAGAGAATTCTGGATTGAGATTGTTACCAACTCTCTCAGTTCGACCATACTACAAAAGAACAGTCAGGTTTTCCTAATTATATGCCCAAATTTTATTCATTCTGGAAAAATATGACTGATTTATACTGTATAACCCTTAGGGAATATATATATATATATATATATATATATATATATATATATATATATATATATATATATATATATATATATATATATATATTATATATATATATATATACTATATATATATATACTATATATATATATATACTATAT